AGGATTTATTATATGGCTTTCGGGGGAAATGTTTCTTGCGGGGATGGCGGGTAGTCCCAAGCGGGCAAGATAGCGCCATCTTGCCCGCTCGGGTAGCCAATCACAGCACAGAATTCAGTTCATCTTGCACGCTCAACGTAGCTAGCCATATAATGAAGCGAATTATTCATTAAAGCCTGGCAAAATGTTGGGGAATGGTGGTGGATTAGCATTCCTTTCTGGAGGAGTTACAATACTTCTGGTCACGCCATTCCAATTGTTGCAGAAGAAACGTCCAGTCTACATTGACCTACATTGTTATGATGCCCAACTATTGGGAAGAAGAAAATAGTTCACCAGTCTTTCTCTGTTTTATTACTACATGCTCTCGCCTGGATGGAAAGCTAGCTAAGAGTAGGAAGTGGAAAACTCGTGGAGAGGCATGGAGGTAGGTTAACACTGGGAATCATTGGATGGATTGAGGGATTTGTTTCCGGGCTAGAAAAAATTTAGGTGGTTAAGACCAAAATCAGTGCTATAAAACTGCAGATTGTTCTGCTAAATTATTCAGTGGTTGGTTTTTCACGCCAAGCTGCTTCTTCAACATGAACATCACCACCTTGAAAAAGGAGTTCGTAAGGAGTTTATATGGTAGCTTATCATGTGGATCTGTGAAAGGTTTAATTTAATTTAGTCGCAAGGACTTCTCCTCACCCGAAGGTTTTTGTGGGGCAAGTCGCATTAGCTTCTCCCTGATCAATTCAATCCAGTTTGAATTCGTGGGACAAAATTAATCAAAAGGACCAAGGTTTAGTCCTCGTGACTAGATTTTGTGACATAAAAATGGTTAGTTCAAACGATGGGACTTGACCCCATGACTTGTTGCAGGTCAACTAGTCGCAGTCTCTGTGTGCAAACCTTAACCCCCGTTTGATGGTTGTGAGCCCTTTTCCTGGTAGATAGCTAAGTAACAATTAAGCCACCTGTAAAACTACAGGTAAAGTGGTTACGTGATCCTATCTTAATGCATCTTGAAGGAAAGTACTTCTTCAT